TTCCTTATATTCGATTAGAACACGGGACAGGGCCAACCGTGATTGGGCTTAAATTGTATCAATGGAGGTTAAAGTTAGACATTATGAAGAATTTTCTCACTATGGCGGTGTGTAAGCACTGGAATAGGTTACCTAGAAGGACTTTGCAATTCCTGTCACTGGAAAATTTAGTGCAGGTTGAGTAAATGCTTGACTAGGATTGTTTAGAGAGGCAGCAGATTGGACTGGATGACCTCCTGAGATCCCTTCCACTCTGGTTTCCTATGATTCTCAGATTTAGGATATTATGCTATCATACTGAGATCAAATCTCTGACATGAACTGCCCTTTTTCTTTGCCATGGATGGTACTCCTGTGTGTCAGTTACTATAAACTCTAAGTGATAACGTCTCTGGTTTCCTGGTTTTCTTATCAAGAGTGCATTTTCCCAGTGGCCTCAAAAGGGTTTTATTGTGCATCACCATCATAGGCTCACATATCTCCAGTCTAATGTTACTGCTTATCATCGCTGCTGGCGTTACATTGCAGCTTGCCCCGTCATCCAGCTGGAATTGAATGGGCCTTGATCTAATAACCTAGTTACAGACATGACAGCAAAAGGCCTGGCAGCCTTAGAATCATAGAGAAGTCGGGCTGGAATGGACCTCCACAGGTCATCTAGTCCAACTTCACAGCTGAGGCAGGATCATCCCTATCCAAACCATATTATACAAATCCATTGTCTAACCACTTAGCAAAAATACAGTCAACCCAGACACAGCACGTGACTTAATACCGTAACCTACCACCAAAAATCCAGAGGGACCATGCCCTGCTGCTGTAAATGTTATTAATATATATTCATGAAATCCTGGGAAGAGCACAATGCCCCTTGCTACAGACAAAGGCAAACCCCGCAACAGTCCATACCAATCTGATCATGGGGTAAAATTCCTTCCTGACCACAAATGTGTCAATCAGTCTGACCCTGAGTGGAGGGGCAAGACCCTCTCACCAGGAATCTCCTTGCAACAGGAGCATTGGAACAGCTGAGTCAAAACCCCTAGACTTGGCAGCAGCCAACCCCCAATGCCTCTGAGGAAGCCTGACAGATGTAGCGTCAGGGAGGTGGTGGGAGAGGGGGAGGCAGAAATTCCTGTTCAGCTTCATGCCGTGACCAGAAAAGCCCAGAAGCATGGGAAATACCCATAGTAGAACATAGGCAAACTATCCCGAGATCATCCCCAACCAGTGGCTGTCCAACCTCTTCCTGAACATCTTCAGTGACGGAGAGGCCACAACTTCCCTAGGCAGTCTATTCCACTGTCTCACTGTTCTAACAGTGAAGAAGTTTTTCCTGCTATCCAATCTAAACTTACTGTGCTGCAATTTCAAGCCATTGGTCCATGTCCTGCTCTCCAGTGAGAAAAAAAGGTGTTTCTTCCTTTTTCTTATGGCAGCTCTTCAAATATTTGAAGACTGCTATCAGGTCCCCTTTTAGGTGCTTTTCCACAGATTGAATATGCCTAGCTCCTTCAACCTCTCCTTGTATGAATTGCCTCCTAAGCCCTTTATCATTTTTGTTGCCTGCCTCTGGACCTCTCTAACTTCTCCGTCTCCTTTTTAAAACATGGAGCCTAAAACTGCACACAATACTTTAAGTGAGGCCTAGTCAGTACTGAGGAAAAAAGCACTATCCCCTACTATGTCTTGCATCTAATGCTTCTATTTATGCATCCCAAAAGCACATTCACCTTTTGTGCATCTGCATCAAACTGCAGACTCATCCTGAGTCTGTGATCTATCAAGAATTCCAGATCCTTCTCCATAGTGCTGCCATCCAGCCAGATCACTCATTCTGTATTTGTATTTATTATTCTTCCTGAGGTGTAATGCAGTGTACGTCACTGAGAGTCCTTGTGTCTGCTTAAGTCAGAGGGAAGACTACCTCCTCCTCATTAGGAAGTCTCTGTCCTAAGTCACTGAGGTATAGGTATAGCTACATCATGTCCTGGCCAATCCAGTCCTGAACATGCCCTGCCCACTTATTACTGCTTCCAGGATCCAGATATGGAAATGTGGTGGTCAGGCTACTTTGGGGGTGTCCCCAATAGCTGCTCTCAAGCATGCTGGAGACCAAGACCTCAGGAGTGATGAAGAGGAACATTCCTGAAGAGACTTTGATTTTGGGTTTTGAGTATGAGTGGGAGCTGTTGGGTAAGTGTCTGACTTCTTGTTCTTTTCCCCTGCAAGGGGATAATAACAAAACTTTCATTTTCCCATCAGCATCCTCTACATACAGACCTAGTTGCTTGCACTGCTGCCAGGCTTCTGCCAGGGTCTTTCTTTGGAAATCAGCATTTCCAGTAGTCAGTGTTCCTCTGTGCTGCCTATTTGCTCTGTTGCTAGGTACCGCTTAGTTTTCCCATTCATCATCCTCTCTTCCTGGTTGTGCATTTCACTACACTGAGTACTGCCACCCTGTCTTGTGCAACAGATTATGGGCTATAACACAAGAATCACCCTTTTCTAAAGCTAGAATGGTCCTTTGTTAAGACAACTATTGGCAGCTGGCAGCTACTATGGTAGCTATTCCAGCCATGTTCACACAGACATATTTCCCAGTGCCTACTTCCATTCTGCAACATGTGTTTCTCCCTCCAGGTTCCATATAGGATGGTATATAGGCTGTTATAATTAACATTAGGGGAAAGGCCTGATTCCCTGAAACAACATCAGAAGCTTAGTGCCATTGGTTTGCACACTGGTACCCACAATGTACTTCCCACTAACAGCAGCTGAGCTTGTGCTCTGGGAACAGGGTTCTGAGCTTTAAAGTCTGGAAGATTTTCCCAATATTCCCTACAGCCAGATTCTTCTCTGACCAATGTAAAATAAATGCATTGAAATCAGTGGATTTCCACTCTTTCCCATGATTCTCACTGTTGTATAACATCCACCCAGGGAAGCCGAAGTCTGTGCAGCACCGGGCGTGGGGGAAGGTGGACGCTTTCAGCACTAGCTCTTGGCTCAGTCGTAGCCAAGTCAGTACTAACTAACAGCTCGTCTGCTCTTATCACCCATTTCACACTGTGTGAAGTGAGCTGGTGGCTTTCATTTCCAGAGAGTAGGTGCCCACATCAACAGAAACTAGCACAGCTATGCAGTCATTGGCAGCCTCATCTGAGATGCTGAGAACTTGAGTGGGTCATAGGAACAGAACTCCTCTCCAGCCCCTAGAGATGACCCAGCAGAATGGCACCTAGAGCACGCTTCTGCAACAAAGCATGAGGAGGAGCTGGTGGAATAACTCACCAAGAATACCTGTCATGAAATTTGGCAGGCGCTGAGCAATCATTTAGGAATAATTGTTTCCACACTTTACATCAGTGGGGGCCAACTTTTTGGCAGGTGTGCCACAAGGTAAGCTCTACACCTTCCCCGGATGCCAGTTCAATCCCCTTCCCTGCCTAATCTGCTTCTCTGCTTTCTGCTCCCTGCCTGATCTGCTGCCTACTTTCTGCTTCCCACCTCATGCTCCTTGCCTGATCTATTGCTTTGCTTTCTGTTCCCTGCCCTATCTGTGACTGTTCCATGCCCCCTCCCTAGTCTGCTGTGGGCCATACAGAGGCAACTCAGACTCTGGGTTGGGCACCCTTGCTTTACATGGCCCTGGTGCAATGGAAACAGAACTTTGCTTTCCAGGCTTGTCATTTCAATGCCTTATTCCTCCTTGGCGTGCAGCTAACATAGCAGTCTAGGTAATTCTGTGCCTGTGGCTCACGCCCTCTCATCCAGAAAAAGAAACAAATGACACTCATGCTTGGCGCAAGCTACATATCATTCAAAGGCAGGGCCTGCTACCTTTGTTCTGGTTTGACAGGCACCATTATAGGCCATATTTCAAAGAGGTGGTTATTTTGTACACATAGGTCAATGCCTGTATTTGGATACTCAGAGTGTTTCTTCTTGCTGCATGGCAAGAGAAATTTGTTTGGATGTGTAAATGATTTTGACAACTTAAACCCTGTGTGTTAATGCACTCATCAAAACACCAAGAATTTCCAGGACAGGTCACATCTGCTCGCTACTGAAAGACTGTGCTAAAACATAAAGCTTTAAGCCTTGGGTGTATGAAGGACATTTTCCAGGATATTTTGTCATCTTTTTGCTATAGGCTGGTTGGTTCCATTGGCTTAAGTGGTCTCTGTAACCTTAGTGGAGGCTGACTACTATTCTAAGTGTTGCACCACTGAGATGCAGGTAAAGCAGAGGCAGACAAAATTAAGCTTAAAATACCAGTAACATGTTTACCCTGTGGCTGGAACAAAAATGGGCAATAGTAGATCAAGTTAAGGAGGGGCTGTGATTTTTAGAGTTGATGCACATGGCCACTGGTGAGAGTTCATATTTCCTGCCTAGGCCACAGATTAATTGTAAGATCTGGGACAAGTCATCTAAATCCTAATCTTGTATGGTTGAAGCCTGTGGGAGTTTTGCCACAGACTTCAATAAGCACATGAAGGCACAAAACCTCTCAAAACTCCTGGGAGCCAGGCAAGCTTTATTATTATTAATCTCCTTTTATAACTGGGAAACTGAGGCAGGACAGTGAAATAGCTTGCCCCAGGGCCACATGGGGAATCAAAGTTTCATGCTAGGTAAATATATTTTTAATAAGCAACAGCTAATTAGGTGACAAATGTAAAACCTCTGAACAAATCAATGTGAAATGCACTATGCCTCAAAGCTGAACTGCAAATAAAGTGCCCATAGGAGAAAATTTTCCAATTTAAAACACACGCACAAAAAAACCCTAAACCCCAAACTGATTCGGTGTTATGTGAATTAAGGATCAACTTATTTTAATTGAATCCAAAGAGCTCCCTTGACTATTCTTTGTTCCCCTTCCCCCTTCCACTCCTTCCCTGGTTGCCTGTGTAGCTGTTATGCTTTATTTACAGATAATTGGAAATGGAATGTAAGTGCAATCAGTGAGTCCAACTGAAACTTGGAAGAAATCAGCCACTAATGAGTGTTTATTTGAAGCAGTCTTGCTTTGACGTGATGGCACTGTGTGGAGGGAGTGGCAGATGCACTCTGCTGAAGGGCAGCAAAGGAGGGTGAAGGTCCAGTCAGCCTTTTGGATACCATTCAAAAACGTTGGCTCTGCCACCTCTGACCCTTGGGAAGGGTCTGATCTCCAAACCCAGAACCAGGAACCAAATTCCCTAGATGCTGCCCCTTGTTGTGTATAGGGCTGTTCCAACAGCCCCCGCCCAGAACTGAACACTTGACTTTGTGGATGTTGAAAATCATGTCTGGGATGATTAGACAGGTATGGCTCTGGGCTGAGCTGGGAGTAGAAGAGATGACCTCACAGGGGTCCCTTCCAGCTTGATTCTTTGATTCTTCTGAATTTTGCGGTGAGGGTCATCTTTAAGTGATAGGAATATATCTTAATCTACCTCAGCAGTTATACCATCTTTACCATCTATCAGTTGTTCTTTCTGTTCAGTTATACTCAGCCTGTAAGGGGAAAGGATACAGTTCATATGGAATATTTTCTTCATAGTAAAATGACACGTGTATTTTTGTTTCATCACTTTCAGGTGTCTTTCCACAATAGAAACCAACTTAACAGGCTATGCCAACTGTAGCATTTTTTAGATAATCTCTCATTGTTTTACTACCACAGGTGGAGATTTAGCAGTGGGGACACTTGTGTAGACTGTCAGCTGGTGTCTGTGGTGTCTACCCCTGTTCCAGATCCAGAGAAGGTTTTAGCAACAAGCCCCCTTCGTCTACACAAGTACGCCAACTTTTGCTACTGTGAGTAGAACAGTGAAACAACAGCAGATTTCCCACCCCAAAATCTAATTAGTTTATTGTAAACAAGGTCTCAAAGCCTGAATGACTTTTCAAATTTTGATTATGAAAAGATAAGAGAGCACACGAGGTGCCTTCCAGTGAGCGCAGAGAGCATCCCTTCCGCAACATGTTGCATCAACCACGCCTCACCAAATAGCAGCTGGAAGCAGACTCAGAGAAATGTAATAGTGCAGTATGCAGGGGAAAAAAATCTCTCCCGTTCAGCTCCCTGTTTATGTTCAATACAGAAAACATCTCAAATACATTTAAGAGATCAACTTAAATGGTTACATCCTTGCTGGGACAACCTGCTCTAACCCCAAGGGACCGTGTCAAGTCCTGTAGATGGTATCATGGATGGTTAGAACCAATATAATGTAAGGGGGCTAAGTCATGGTTCACTTCCTGCTCATTTTACACCAGTGAAACTCTTTTAGGTTTCTGATCTAGGCTGTTTAGGTTCCTATTGGCTCCTAGTGCTGGAAGAATTTGTCCAGAGGAGGCTGTTCCCTCGCCATCCTCAGATAGTGAAATAAGACTGTTTTTCACGGCTCTCCTCTAACTCTCTGCCAGTACATTGATGTCTCTGTGCAGCTTGATGCCTGGGACTGTTTGTCCAACATTCAAGGTATGATCATAGCAGAGCCTTTCAGAGAAGGCCAGTTATCACCATGGTAGCTGCCTATGTGCATTAATTTGCTACACTGACTCAGCTACTTCATGGTCACCTTTTCCAGGCTTTTCTTCCTCATGGGAAAGTAGGTGATCCAGGAGAAACTGGATTAAAAATTCCTACCTTCTGGATCATAAAATAGATTGCATGGAAGCAAGAAGATCTACCTCTGCCAGTAAGTTGAGTTCCCTTTTTCCTGCTGCAACAAACAGTGATGCCTCTCTTTGCACATTGGCTTCCCTGGGCATGCCCTCATGCCTTCCACCGGGTCCTTTTCACCTACAGCACAATTCACTCTGCTGACTGCAGTCATTAGTGTCAGAGATACACTTGGAGACTTGTGCAAACTCCTGTTTTCTCTGTGCCTCTGGTGTTAAGGCCAGCAAACTAGTCATAAATGCCAAATCCTCTTAGAGTGTCATGCAGTGAAGTCATACCCCATGGCAAATTTGACAGAGTAGCAAGGCGGATTAATATTGTTTAAGCCTCTAAGTGCACTCATACCATCAAAACTCAATGGAGATTTTAGCATCCTATGGCTATTCAGTGGGCTAGTTAGCCACCCTAATCTAGTTTCTAACAGAGAAGCAGTAGCTCTGCATTACAAAAAAGCACTGTCCTTTAGTGATACCCAATGCTGAAGTTGGCAGTCTCAATCAGTGTCTGGATGAGTGACAGAAAATGAACTACCCCTTAACTTGGACAGGCATTGTCTTTAGAATAGGAGACATGGTACTGGTGTTAGCTATATATGTATCTTTGCTGTTGCAATTGTATATTTTGGCCTGTCAGTCTGATTCTTTTCTCTTGTGCTAGTCATCCCAAAAGCACAGCGCTGTCAACATGGAATCCTCTTCCTTTTGGTCCCAAAAGTTAAGCTCTGGATTTAAGACACTGAAATAGGACCCAGTCAAACTGACTGCATCTACACGAGATGCTGACTCTGCTGTCATTACTGCACAGTATTTTAGTACTTGTTTATACAAGTACTAAATGACTGCGCAGTAACCCAAGTTACTATGCAGTAGCACCGATGAATGGCTCTTTTGTGACACTACTGCGCAGTACTGTCACGTCACGATTGTTGCCACACAACGCTACTGCAGTCAGCATCTTGTGTACATGGCCACTGATTCACAAATTTGAGGGCTATTTTTTTTGAAGATGCGCCAGAATTTATCCATTTTCACCTGCCTTCACCCCTTCTAAGTCATCAAAGTCTTGTATCAAACCATCCCATGCTTACACAGAAGAGGAGGCTCCCTCTGGGTGGGCATTCCCTACTCCTGGAAGCATGGCATAGTACATTGCTCCAGGACAAAAAGTATCAGTAGAGTGAATCCCTTCTTTTCTCTCACTCACTCAGATCTTGTTGCTAAGATCTGTAAAAAAATACTTGACAAGATGCCCCCAGAAATCACTTGAGATGCTACTTAACATTGCAACATTGCTTTTCATTAAGTATCTGGCCCAACTGGAAGCAGCTGACTGACACCTCTGTTAGAAAAATGTGACCCAGCCTTCATTTTATGTTGCAGACATTTGGTTATTTTAGACTCAGTGGTTATGGAGATGGCACAGTGGTAATAGGCAGTAAGAAATGGAAAATATACTAAAGCACTATAATGCCTTGTGTCCATTTATACAATAGTTTCGTGACTATTTTGCAAGAAACAAGCAAAGTAAGTTTAGAGTGGATATCAGGAAAAACATTTTCACTGTTAGACAAGTGAGGTAGTGGAATGGACTGCCTAGGAAAGGTGTGGACTCTCCATCCTTGGAGGTGTTGAAGAAGAGGTTGGATAAGCATTGATCAGGGATGATCTAAGAATGATCTGTAAAAAGTTGGAAGCCCAGGAGTAACACCTTTCTTCCCCCTTCCCCCCACAACACAAACACGCTCAATGCTGCACTGACAGCTGGGAGATGAGAAGAGCTTTGCAGCCCAGATACTGGAGGGGACCATGCTCAGAAGGAGAATAATGCAGAGTTCCACAATGGGTTTAATTATGAAAGAAGACTAAACCAACTGGTATAAGTTTATGGAGGGGACATAGAAAACAAAGATCTGGTTGTCCAGCTAGAGGGCATGATGGGTGGAGTTTTGATTGCTGTCCCCAGAATGTAGAGCAGAATGGAGGGCATTATGTTTTTCCCATATTTCTGGGTTTTACTGGTTGCCATATGGGACCAGGAAGGAATTGTTGCTATAGGTGTCAGGGGCTTCCTTCACCTTCCTCAGATGCCAAAGCTGGAGTTTTCGACTGGGTTGGGTCAATGCTCCTGCTGGGATTAAAACCCAGAGGTTCCTGGTCAGTGAGTCTCGCCTCTCTGCACAGGGTCCGACCGATCACCATATTAGGAATCAGGAAGTTATTTTATGCCATGGTCAGACTGGTACAGAGTGTGGGAGGTTCTGCCTTCCTCTGTACTTGGGGCATGGTCCTCTTCCTTGGATCTTTCAACTGCATTTTAAACCTCGCAGTAGCAGGATACTGACAGCTCTCATCTCCCTGCTTTGTTTGTGGCAGGTTAGGGTGCTATGTCTTATGGTTGTGTGACAGGATTGACTGTAGTTTAAGGACTAGATTAGACAAGGATGGTCTGGACAGGCATGATCCTTCTTTGAGCAGAGGGTTAGACTAGATGACCTCCAGAGGTGCCTTCCAGTCATATTTTTCTGATTCTAAATCTCTTTAGTCCCTGTCCAGCGGTGAGTCTAAGCTACAGTATTCAGATCCAGATTTAAAACACTCCAGTGTATATTTGTATGCATCACTGCACATGACATCTAACAGACATGTAAAAATTCATACTGTCATTGAAGTTTAGCTCCCACAAGACCCCTCCCACAACCACTGTATAATCTCAAGGACCCCAAAAATGCTTTCTACTGGATATAGGACTTGCTGCCTTAAATCTGCCCCCTAACTTCTACCAGTACCAGTTACGAGAAGCCAATATCTGAGCAAGTATCTGTATGACTTTGTCCTCTGCACAATGTAAACAGGCTAACCCACACCCCATATAAGACCTTGCCTTAGGCAACCTGGCCCCTTCCTTATAGTCAGCCATAAAAGAATTGAGCAAATTATGGGCAGGTGGCTGTTCAGTGCATCTCTCTTGGAAATTAAGTGATCCCACTAAGGTCCAGCATCATCCCCAGTTGCTTATCCTTGGCGTGTCTCTTCAGCTCCTGACCTTCTGCTCACTTCCTGGGCTTTGATTCTGGGCCAGACTCCTTACAGCCAATCCCACTATAACCATTACTTTGGACTGCCAATGCCCCACTCATAGCATGACTAAAGATAGCTTCTATTCTTAGTAATAATTTTTTACAGAAATGAGATGCAAGTTAGATGTAGTGAAAAAATAGGCCATTGGGTGTGAAGTGAGGGGTTAGGAAAGCAGAAAAGGTTAGCACAAGAGTGTTAAAAAAAAAAAGGCTTTGGGGATATTTATAGCTGGGGATATGGCTTGGCCCTTACCAAAGCTGGGATGAGCTGCAAAATTCAGCTTCCATCCTGCCCTCCAAGAATTCAGATTGGTTAATTTTGGCCCAGCTATGCTCGTCTACCTTATAAATACCTGTGCATGCCTACTGCTGAATCCGTGCCTGCTATTTCCCCTCATTTTTTTCACTTCTTGCTCCCTTATTCTAGGCAGTTGTGCTGTGCAGGTATGGTTTATGCAGAACTTCTGTGACCCCTTGTGGATAAGGACAGAACTGCAGGAATTCTTTGTTCCACAACAGTTCTTCATTTGTAAATGTGGTAGAGAAAATCCAGTTCTTTCCTCTCCCCAAAATGAGAAAAATGTCTTCTTCTGTTCAGTTGTGCAGTCCTTTTTCTGGCAACAAAGCCTACACTTCATAGGCTTCTCTGTGTTACTCAGAGAATACTGTCCTTGAGCAAACATTCAAATAACTTCTGCCTAAGATTCTACAGATAACCTTCTACCTAAAAATTCATCAAAACTCAAAGTTTTCCCCCTACTACTCCTTTTTCCAATACAGCAGATTAGCAAGACCTATGAATATTAATAATAGGGAGTATCTACTTTTACATACCAGTATTTTGCTCGTCCCCTTGCTTAATTTCCTTAGTGGGGCTGATTCCTGTAACATCACAATTGGTTGGGTTACATTGGATGTGGAAGCTGCCTGTGACCATGCTTTTAAAAAGAGGGAAGCTAGTGGTGCAGAACTCAAATTTGGTCCTGAATTCTGATTTTCTCAAAAGTGAGTGGAGTTCTGGTTTGGCTCAGTAGAAAGATTCAGGCCTAAAGGCAAAATTGAGTTTATCAGAAATGTGGCAATAGACACACTGCAAACATGGGGCTATTTAGAAATTCTGGTCCAGATTGGACTGCTACCATGTGAGAGAGCTTTCTTGATAGCCTGCAACCCAGGTGGGATGTGTACATCTCCCCTTGACTATACAGACTCATAGGTTGCGTCCAGACAAGTACAGCCATGTGGTATGTGGTGCCGCAGACACGTCTATGGCGCCACATATTGCATGTTCAGTTGTTCTTCACACTGCAGGGGAGCAGCGCAGAGGGTTTTTTTGACCCCTGAATATCCAGGAGTCAAAAAAACCCACGGACAAAAAAGGCGGAGTAGCGCACACTGCTCAAATGCAGAGTTGGGCCGCCCAGAGCTGTGCTGTGGCTGCCAGCTAGGCTCCATGCAGCAGAATCGCTGCTGCTGCAGCACTGGGAGGCTCCCAGGACCCCAAGTAAGGCTGCTGGGGCCAGCCCAGTGCTGGCCCCAGCTTCCCTTACCACCTCTGGGGTAACTTGTTGCACACCAGAGCATGCGTGGTATGGGCTTTCCCTGGGGACAAGTAGTGGCGGTGCAAAGTGCACCACTGCTAGTTGTCCCTGTGGAACCAAAAGTACATGTGTCTGGATACGGCCATGAGGTTGCATTTGGTAAAGGAGGGCCATGGGTGCTCCGAGTAGTGTTGAGGCCGTCAGACATCTCCCTGCTTCATTGTTCTGACTGTGTCATCATCTCACCACATCAAATCTGAGCTCTTTCTTGTCTTTACCTGACAGGCCCGCCCATGGATTTTAAAAAAGGGGGTGCAGATGGTGTGGGACATTAATCACATACAACACAACACATTTCTCCAGATAAAAAATATACTAATATGCTGGGGACATAGAGCTATATTATTCAGTCTAAGAAGCAAAAACAAATATAACTTTATTGAAATGTGCATTAATTTGCAGCATCATATATGTATTAAAAACACAATAAACTAGGTATAAAATAATAATGAGATGTTTCTTTAGTCCTGTAGCCATTAGAATTAAACATACATCTCTTTCAAATTCACAAATCAAAATCAAACCTTCTTGAGCATCTTGACAGCACATCCAATGCTTCACTGAAAGTTATTTCTACACCTGAGTTAATGTTCATCTGAGTTAATGTTTTCACAACTGAATAAATGTTTTAAGCTAGAGTTTTAAAAAGTCTGCAGGGCTGTAAAATAGCGCTACATTACCAGGAGTAGCTAACAGACAGCACAATTGCTAAAGAAAGGATGGCTTGATTAGTGGAACATCAAGATCACTAAAAAGGAGAATGAATTGTTAACACCTGTAGAATAAAGTGTTTAGAAGGAAAAAGGTAGACTATACTGAGCCATGAAGTCAATTGAGCCTCTCACTGCTGCCTGAATAGAAATGCTTCTGCCACTGCCTGGCAGTTAGTTTTAAATGTTGGGTGTTTGGCAGAACGTCATTCCAGGAGTGGCCATGAAGTCCCTGGAGTCCCTGCAGGCCTCACTTTCTGGGCAATCACCCCTTCAGCTGTCTGACATGCCTAGATGTTTATTACTTTTATGAGGGAGTCTGCCCCAGGGCTTCCCAAATTGCTCTCTCAAAATGACCACCAGGTCACCGCCTTATGGGTTCTGTTCCTGCCCTGCATCATGCCCCACAGATGGCATCCTTATTGATGTTCTCTTTCACTTAGCCCCTCCTCTGGGGTTCCTGGACCCTCTCTTGTCCCACAATTTCATCTCAGTAGGTTCCTAGACCCTCACTGGTCCCACATCTCAGCCCATTATGGGCTCCGGACCCCTCTGAGTCCCTAGGAACCTCCTCTTCCCCTTAGTTCCTTCCCAAACCTCCAGACTGCTTTAGGTGCTACTCTCCATGTTGACCTTCTGGAGCTGCAGCCATCTGGCTGAGGTGGTGTTTTCTCAGCAGGCTCTAAGATGTTACTGCCAGTTTCTCTCAGGGCCTGGGCATATACCTGCTCAAAGTCCAGCCTTCCTCTCAAGTTAGATGACTCCCCGTCAGGCTTAGTTTCACCTGCCAGCTCCATGGGTCAGCTGACTGCCATTTAGCCCTGGCCTGCACAAGCCAGTGGCTTTGCAGGTTACCTGACCTCTTGAAGTGTCAGGCACCTGAAATGCGCTGCAACAGGGTGGACCAGGAACCAAACAGGGGGTGCAACTGCACCACTGTAACCCCCCTGGATCCACCCCTAGACTCTTCTCAATCTATTGCATCTCCTACTCCTTAGCTCAGCCAATGATGCCTGCAAAGGGGGCTTGCTCCTTTCTACACTAACCTTCACACGTCTTTCTGTGCCTGTTACTGTGCTGTCCCTGAAATAAATCACCCAGCTGCTACTATCCTCTTCAAAATATTCGTCAAGTATAAATTCTACCCTAAAGCTTGTGGAAAACAGCTAGGTGATAGCATCTAAGTGGAGGTTGGTAGAGACTTACCATAGTCCTCTTACTAACAAAATCAATTGATTCAAAACCACTTAGATGTATACTCAGATACTATACGTACCTATGTGACTCATGTCACTTTCTTGTCATCCTTCCTCCATTCCTCTTGTTGATCCATGTCTTAGATTAAGTTGTAAACTCTTCAGAGCAAGGACAGTCTCTTACTGTGGTTGTAGAACATCCTAGACACTGCAGCCCTCATCTGGGCACTCCTGTAGTAATAAATAATCATAAATAATACCCCAGGGTAGCTAATGCATGTCTCTGAGTGCATACAGATGTCCACAAGCCCCAGAGTACAGTCAGTTGTTTCTACAAGATTGTAAAAAGTGGGCGTCCCAGTGGGTCTGAACATTGGCTCGCCTACTTGTTTCATGGCAAACTGCCCACCTACTTCACCTGCCATGCCTTTGATGATAGTAATTAAGACACAATAACAAGGCAGGAGGCTGCCCATGTACTTGCCCAGATGCCAAGGGCCTATATTCACAGCTCTAACCTTCCCTATACCATGTCCCATGCCTCACAGATGGCATCCATGGCCTAACACCCAGCCTGTAGCTTACTTGGCCTAATGCCTGGCCTATAACTTGGTCTGACACATGGTCACTCTATCAATTGGGGCTCCCATCCCTTCCCTGTTCCTTGGGCTCCCAGCCTGGTCTCTTACTCAATCAGGGCTCCTAGCCCCTCTTTTTTTCCCCTCAGGCTCTCAGCCTGGCTTGGAAGCCTCTTGGTCTCCTTCCAGGCCCACTGAAGCCTCATTCTCTGCTTAACACTGGGCCTCAATCCCCGGCCCAACACTGGACTCACAGTCCCTTTATCCCCTTGCCCCAGGAGCTTCACAACTAGCTCCCTGTAGGCTCAGGGCCCCACCCCCCTGGAGCCTCACACCTGGCTCCCTAAATGCAACTCAGGGCTCACAGTGAGTCTGGAAGCTTCCTCAGGTCCCTTCTTGACCTGAGCCCTGCCTCAGGACTCACTGTGAGCCTGGGCTCCTGCTTTGACTTTGGGGTGTGCTTCCCTAGCCTTTCCTCTCCATGGGGTCACCCACAAGGCAGCGGGGGCTGAGGCTTTCTGGTGCCCCATACTCACTCTTCACTGGTGATGTCCAGGTGTGGTATTTCCTGGAGACTGCCCCACCACTGGCGGTCCCACCACACTATCCAACCCAAGAAGGGTATAGTTTTAGGTCATGCTCCAGGACCAGAAGCCTCCGCCTTCCCCATGGCTCCTACCCTGAACCTCCAAAATGTCATAAGCAGCAGCTCCAGTTGGGTGGTGTTCTTCTCTCAGCTGCTTGTAGCAGACTGCTGGCTACACTGCTCAGGGCCCTGCTCTTATAATGAATGCCTAGGCCCTGTTTCCAATCAGGTAACTGGGCCTGATTGGGAGTGCAGCCACCTGCAAGCTGCTTGCTCATGCCCCTTTCAGTAACAGAGCACACCCTGTGCTGTTATAAAGATGCACAACTGTTCTTGGGGAACAAATGTTTAATTATTCTTTATCACTTACAAGTAGAGATCTCTGGAATCCAGGATGGGTCAAAATTTCCAGTTTTCTCAGATACCAGGATGTCCCTCAAACTCTCTTTCCTTTTTGTGCCTAGGCTGTGTGTTTCTTTACCAAGTGACACTGAATTTGTTGCAGTCTTTTTCTGATGTTGCAGAATGAAAAGCTTCTCCTACAGATGCCTTTGCAGCCACCTCCAAATAGTGCTGAGAGCCCTCGTCTCTGAGAGGATTACTGGGGATGAAAAGTAGCTCCCCTTCAACTTCCTGAGATCATCTAAGATGCATGCTGTCTGGACAGAGAAATTTACCAAAAAATCAGAGTGGTGTTTATGTTTAGGGAGTTAGAAATGTTGAAATGCTGATGCAGAGAGGGGAGGGGGTAAATGTCTGAATCCGAGTACACTGATCCTGCATAGAGGCCTAGAGGAAAACTAGACAATGGTCCCCAAGAGAAAGAACCAAAGCTCCTCCTCTCCCCAGTCTTTAAAAGACTAGCTTCCACCTTGTTTTCAAGACTTCTCTTCCCTGGTGTAGTGGCAGTCCTTCAAACTTCTGCTGTATGTACCTGTGCCCAGAACTAGTGTCACTGGTCACTCTTTCATCTACACCATGTAAAGGACACACAGAACACCCTTTAGGTTATCTTCCCATACAGGGTTGGCCTTAGGGAAAATGGCACCCTGGGCAAGCCTGTATTTTGGTGCCCCTCCCCCCCAGCGCCCCCAAGTCAGAGACGCTGCTGCAGGCAAAGGCAGCAAGGCAGGCAGGGGCACAGGGAATAGTCTGGCAGGGTGGCGGAGTGGCATGGTGTGCCAGGCAGGCAGGCAGGCACCACTGCTGCTGCCCACATGACCTGGGTCCCCCTGGAGGGCAAGCTGGGCTGGGCACCGCTTTTCCTACCTGGGGCATGGATCGACAGGGCGGGGCAGGGAGACAGCGCTGCTGTGAGCGTGGGCTGCTCACGTGTGTATGCGTGTGGTGCCTCCTTGACCACAGTGCCCTGGGCAGTCACCCACACTGCCCATGCCTAACGCTGGCTCTGTTCACATGCATACTGCTGAGGTTCCGAATATAACTCATTTTCCTTGTGGGAGCACTATGTCAGGAGCCAAAGCCTTGCTTTAGTGCATGGATTTCTCCAGGAAGAAGAGGTTGTTCCTGCTTTAGGCTGTGTGCATTGTAAATTACCAAAACATCCAAATCTTCATCTGGGGGAATGGCATATTCAGCAGAGAAGCATATTCCATCTCTGGGGCTGTTGTGGGGAAAGAATAGCCATTGATATCTTACAAAGTGCTTTACCAGCAACCTTTTGCACAACCAGGGAATATGAGGATGCTGCTTCCTGCCATATCTTCTTTACTTACAAACCCAAAATGGATTAAACAGCTCCCTCTGCTAGAGGAACCACACCGAGGTACATTAGTATATCAAATTTGGAATCATGAACAGTCTTTAGAGTAAGATGGATGGTCCACACTGACCCAAGGTCACAAACAGAGGGGCTGTTAAGAGACAACGCCAAGATTATCAGCTTTGAACACTGTGCTTCCTATCTTTAGGCAAACTACAGAACTGATTTGGATGAGGCTCAGAAGAAGAACCAAATGCTGACAGGTTTAGGAAGGGGAACCATAATCATTCAGAGGACCCGGATAGGGAAGATAGGCTTTTAGGTAAGACAGATTTTTGAAAAACAGCAATAACTCTTTCATGTGCTTGGTTATGAATAAGTGTTTGTGATTCCTTTCTTAAGACTTTATTTTATGCTTTTAGAAAGTTTATGGAGAGATCAGAGATCCCTTAACCAGGTAGACTCTGAAGGAATATATTTTATAGTGACCAGGGAGGCTCAGAAAGGCTGAGGCACAGGTTTCAGGTCCTGAAGTCGCCACACAGAAGGGTCCCACTGCCCAGGAAGGATGTCAGACATAGGTCTGCACTTGAGAGTCTGCTTGTAAAACGCAGTCACTACCCAGACCCAGAGGTGAAATGGAAGTATCAATACATGTGGGTCCTGGATTGGTATCCATCCAGAAGGGAGGGTGGGATCCCCCATTTAACACCATTCACATCCTAGCCAGAAATTCATCATCCCACATCCTTATTTAAAATCAGAAAGTACTTCCAAAGGAGTTATTGCTTTGTCTGCAAAAATGGCAAAGTGGTACATCAGAGAAACAAGAAAGCCTTAGTGGATTGTTTGGCTCAATACTTAGTCAGTGTGTATTGTAATTAGCCATATGCTAGGTTTGCAGAGTATTACAGGGTAAGCCTGCTGTAACACACAGCTGCTTAGTCTGATCAGAAAAACTTTCAGATATGATAGGAAAGAAAGGAAAGGAAGATACATTGCAGGTAGCATTACTACCTCACTGATGACAGTTCAGATTACTAACATCAGGCTACTGCAGAATACGTACTGCAAGAAAGCCAAAAGAACCCCAGCTCTTTGTTTCCATTAAGGAAGGTTCCCCAGAGCTAATTAAGATGGGTACTGCATATTGTGAACCTAAATCCTCATGGCTAGTAATAGTCTCCCAGCTACATTCAGGTTGATTTGCCTATCTTTTTAGAGAGATGCAAACTTGAAAAATGCCCCTGGCAAACTAAATGCATAGAAACACATCTGGCTTCAATGCATGGAACTAGGAAGGTACAGCCTTCCTTGTGGGAGTCATACAATTAAATTTAACAGACTGTTCCCCTGTAAAAGGGCAGCAGAATCAGGCTTGCATATGGAAACCCACATTTATCTGCCAGTGCTATGAATGTTTTTTTTCCCTAGGATACCTTTCTGAATAACCAGGAATGTGGGAGCCACAGATCCTTCAGTCGCTAAATCTTGTAGTGAATTTTCATCACTTTTTAAATCTGTGGTACTATAGTGAGCCGTGACTATTACTCAGTTGTTGCTCTCTTGTATTCAGGAGTTTTCAGTTTAACAAAAATGCTGTTAGCCCTTATCACAATGAAAATGACTTTCAGGATGTAATCACTGAAGTTTGCGCTGCTCAGATCTGCAGACAGCCTGGAACTACAACTCAAAGGTAAAGTGTAAACTGCTGCCATTCAACTTAGGGAGTCATTTGCTATGAAATATAGCTGTGGCATTTAAAAAAGTGAGCATTTTAAACTATTCCACTGCTGATTAAGGCATACAAGAAAGAAGAGGTATAATTATCTGATCATATTATGATCTGTTCAATCTGAAATCTGTTTTTTTAGCATATAATATTGAGGGGCTGGAAGTGACTGTGGAACTATGTTAGCCCTTCCTGCTGCTCCTATCTAGTACAAGGCAAATTGGAGGGGCATTCCCATTGTATTTACATATATCAGTGGTTCTCAACCTTTTTAGACTTGAGGCATCCCTCAATAGACTCAAGGACCACTTGGAAAATGCCAGCTCTTCATTTTTTTCTGTTTCTGACCACAAAAAAATAATATATTGGCTCATCTGTTGCAAATAACTCAGACCACAACAGGTCAGAATGTTTTTGACAGTGTGGATTCCTACTTGAAACTCTGGTTTTATCCTGTGAATCACGTTTGTCCACCTAACAGTGCTAAAATTGTGTGGCATCTTGTGGCACTTTTAAAAGGATCTCAAGGTACCCCAGGGTGCCACTGCACCCTGGTTGAGAATCACTTACTGTGGCAGTGCACTTGTAGTGCTTCCCACTTTAAGGGCTGAGTCAGGCAGCCAGCAGGTGCCGGATTGCAGTGGCTGTCTTAAAACACAGGCAGCTACATAAACACAGCAGTTTGCTGCTGGAAGCCAGGCAGAGACATTGCTTGGCTGAACTTCCCTATGAAACATATGGCAGGAAAGAGCAGGGGGCTCTTGGTCCTGGTCAAGACCTAAAACTACACCCTACCAGGATAGGGAGGCCTGGTGGGACTGCCAGTGGTGCGGCAGCCCCACCTAAATACTACAGCCGCTCACCTCCTCAGTGAAAGGAGGGCTGCGGTGCCTCAATAACCCTTAGCCCCCACAACACTATGGGTATAAGGGGGCCAGGCATGGCTATGGCCATCTGAGCCCCTACAGGGGAATGAGACCCTGGAGGCCCCAGGGAGGGGACAGATGTGTAGCCCCAGAGAGGGGTGTGGTAGTGAGGGCCCTGATGAGGGCTGTGGGACAGCCTGAAGGGTAGTACATATTCCAACCCCCCGAGGAACAAGTCGAGGGAAGTGTGGAGCCCCAGTGAGGGGGAACCGAGGGCTAGGAGCCCAGTACATGGGGGCCAGGGGCCCAGCGTGTGTTTGTGTAGGTTTATGTAGAGTTGCCCCGAGTGGGCCCACGGCAGGCTTGGCCTGGGCTGGGAACTTGGCTGACCACTACCCAGGTGGGGGACGCGGGAGAGGCCCAAGAGACTGTATATCCGCCACCCAAGGCGTGATCTGGATAAATCCCCAAGACCTACGGGAGCCTCTCCAAGAAGCAGCAGGGTGGAACAAGTTGTCAATGCAAGAAAGAGATCCTGTGAGAGGGGGTGGAGCGCAAGAGGCCCTAGTGAAAGGAGAGCGGTGTGAATGTGCGTGTGAAAGACCAGGAGCATAATGTCATCCTGGATGCCATCTGCGAGGCATGG